CGCATACAGACACAAACACACACACATAAATACACGCACACACACAGAGAAAGGGAGGGAAGTAAGAGAGATGGTTGTCAGCTGACGCAGAAAGGAAGCCTCTACCAGCTTCAGAGGACTGAAACCCTGACACTGTATTGTCAGGACAACATGTAAATGAGCTAAACCACTGTGACAGAGGCTGGAAAATAGTCAGAGCTAGTTACACACGTCTGAGGCAGAGGTGTGAGGCTACATATCAAGATCTTGTCTCAAACAACAACAACAGAGGCCTTAAAACGTGCACACACTTAGAAATTTAGATGCTCTCCACCTGGTGATCACACCTATCTCCCAGCACTTGGGAGGCTGAGGCAGGCTGAACAGGAATTGGAGGCCAACCTGGGCTACCTAGCAATTCCACACCAATCTAGGCTAAAAAGCTTAAAAAGCCAAAGAGAGGAGAGACAGAGAGACAGAGAGAGAGAGAGAGAGAGAGAGAGAGAGAGAGAGAGAGAGAGAGAGAGAGAGAGGGTTGTTTGGGTTTTTCCCCTTAGAATAGTCACTATATTAGTTACTTCTGTGTTGCAAAAGAGTTTATTATGGACTTAAGGTTCCAGAAGGATAAGAACCCATCACAGCAGGGAGGCACGGTAGAAAGCAGGTATGGCAACAGGAGCAGGGAACTGAGAGCCACAGACTCAACCTCAGACACACAGGAACTGGGAAAGGGTGAGGAAGACAGTCTCAAAGCTGGCCTCAAAGGATGACCTTCCTCCATCAAGGTTACAACCTCCTAAGCCTCCCTGAACAGCGCCACCAACTGGGGCCAAGTGTTCAAATACATGAGCTTCCAGGGGATATTTTCATTGAGACCCCCATAACTGCCTCCTAAACAGCCGGTGGGGCCAAGAAATCGCAATGCCAGTAGAAATTTCAGAAAGGCCAGGTGCCTCTGCTGGCTGGGGAGGCTGGAGACCAAGCAGCTCCTCTGTAGAAGGGCAGAAGAAGGGCATCAATACCAAATAAACACAGACAAGGAATCCTGGGCACTAGAAGGTGGAACCATGCCCAGAAGCCCAGAGCCTCTGTTGATTAACTCCATGGTAACCAAAGGAGCCCTGTTGCAGCCCCCCCCCCCCCCCCGAATGTAAACAGTCGTCCAAGTGTACATGCTGTTTGCCTGATAACTTCCACAACGTCTTTGTATTGAAGTTCTTATCTATTTAGAGGGAGGCAGCTAGCTTATCCTCAGAATTTGAACAGTCTGGACGCCATCTCTCTCTCCAGCACCCCCCCCCCTTATCCCCAGTACGGTATGAAGTAAAAACATTGAGTTGCTATAACAGAATGCTGTACACTGGGTGGCTCAAATGGCGGTCATTTCAAACAGTTCTAGAGACTGAGAAAGTAAGACCAAGACACTGGCAGACTGCATGTTTGGTAAGGAACTACTCCCTGGCTTGCCTGTATCAATGTCCTGCACAGGGAGGAAGTAGGTGCTTCCATGTCTTTTTATAATGGCACCGCTCATGAAGGTGTCACCCTCCTGACTCCATCAACTTCCTCCTAAGACCACCCCTTTAGGTGTAGGACTTCAGCAGGAGCATGGAGTGGTGTCACAGACATTTGGTTCTTAGTCAAAGTTGTTTTTACCTATGTTTGATACCAGAGTTAAAACTGAATTTGCAGGGGGCCAGGGCTGTTACTAATTTAGGCTTAGTGAACGAGGGACCCTGGGTTCCATTCCCAGCACCAAAAAAAAAAAAAAAAAAAGGAAAAGAAAAAAGAAAGTATCAACAGACTCAGAAATATCATATTTAATCGGTTTGATCCTGTTACCCAACAAAATATTTGAACAAGATGACAGTGGGAATTCTATACATCAGATTAGAGGTAGCTGACGCTCACTGGCACATTTTCTCAAAAAACAATTAATTAATTAATTAATTAAAAGAAAAATCACCACATGTGGGAGGCATCCTCTTGGCCTACATCTCTAATGTGGTCTTTTGGTCTAGAGCTGGACTGCATTCCTTTGGTCCAGAGATAAAGGACAGCCCCTCAGTCTAGACCTAGAAAATGCTCCCTCGGTCTGGACCTAAAAATTGTTCCCCTTTGGTCTAGATCTAGGCTACTTTTCTATCCAAATTAACCCTTTCAGAAAGAACCTCAAAGTTCCTAACAAGATACCTTTAAAAATCAAGCTATTATTAGGGAGAACTGGCCCTGCCCCCCATCAACTGTGCCACTCTGGAGAGTGGGCCCTGCACCTCCCCCAGGGCAGCCCAGTGGGTCTGTCTCTGCTGGTAGGGGTGCAAGTGAGCCAGCCCGGAATACACAAAAGTGGGAGAGCTAAGCCCACAGACTGTCACACAGTGGTATGGGAGAGGGAGAGCGATACCACCTTGCTCCTCCTGGCTCACCCCTTGCCACCTACCACAGGCAGGAAAAGCTGGTCACTGGAGTCATGAGAGCGGGAGAGCCGATACTGTCCCTCACCAGCTGTGGGAGAATGGGCGCTGCACCTAGCACAGGCAGCATCAAAGAGCTGACCCTGCTGGCACAAGTGATCTCGCGAGTGGGCGATCCGGCCCCACCCTTCATCTACCATAAGGGGGGGGGGAGTAGAAGAGGGAGAGGTGGCCTCCCCTGCCCCGCCCCTCGCTGCCTGCGGTGGGTGGGAGAGCTGGCCCTGAGATTATGAGAGAGGAAGAATTGGCACTGCCCACCCCTCATCTGCCATGCGGTGCCATGGGTAAGGAAACAATGACCCCTCCCCTGGGCCCTCGCCACCTGTGGCAAAGTGAGAGCTGGCCACCAGGGTGGGAGAACTGGCCCTGCTCCCTCCCCTCCCCCCAGTTTCAGCACATGGGGGAGCAGGCACGGCACCTTGCTTGGGTAGCACATTAAAACCGACCCCGTTGGCAGGAGTGCAGGTGAGCCAGGCCTGTGGGTGTGAGAGCAGGAGAGCTCCCCTGTCCCCTCCCTGCCATGCCATGAGATGACAAGGGTCAGGAACCCTGCCTGGGCGAAACAGTAGAGCTGGCCCTGGTGGTGTGAGTGCGGGAGAGCTGGCCCTGAAGGCAAGAGAACGGGAGAACTGGCCCTGCTCCTTGCTGTCTGCTACATTGGGTGCTGGAGAGCTCCTCTGGGTGCTGAGGACGAGGAAAAGCTGGCAGGCTGACCAACCCAGCTACCATGCAGGCCCCGAACCAGGACTACAAGGCAGCTCACTCTCTTTGTGTTATGGCCAATAGAATCTTCAAGGGAGGAATTGCAGGAACCATAAACCTCTTTTTCACCATGACTTCAGCTGCTGTGAATATGCCAGGGATGGAGGCTCCCCGGCATTTCCTGTAATTTCCTTTCATGTACCTCTGGCAGTCAAGGCATAAGTGATACCCATTTCATTGCCAGACATTTTTGACATTTCTGTCCATTTGCACATGTGTGTCTCTGTGTGTGCACCACAGTGCGCATGTGGAGGTCAGAGGACAACCTGCAGAGGTCTGTTCTCTCCTTCTACCATATGGGCCCTGGGACTTGAACTCAGGTCATCAGGGTTGACAGCAAGCACCTTTGCCTACTAAGCCATCTCTTCAGCCTCCTTTATTAAATAAATCCATACATTATTAAAGACTAACTAGGACTGTCAGTCATGCTTAAAAAGCTGTATTTCCTGAGTGTAGTAGCTTTTGTTTTAGTGACTTTAAATGAAACATCTCAGAAGGCACAGCTGCTTCCTGGGTCTGCCTTTTTTTTTTTTTTTTTTTTTTNTTTTTTTTTTTTTTTTTTTTTTTGAGACAGGGTTTTCATGTGTAGCTTTGGAGCCTGTCCTAGAACTTGCTCTGTAGACCAGGATGGCCTCAAACTCACAGAGATCCACCTACCTCCAGAATGTTGGGATTAAAGGCATGCACCACCACTACCCAACCCGAGTCCGACTTTGATTTGTCTTTATGGGTATGAACATCAAACACATGATCTTTTGCACTTCTGAGAGACTCTGATGAGACTGACCAATCTCAATGTACCCACCTCTACCAGCTGCCTGCTCGTCTCTCTGCGCCGCAGTACCAAGAACTTGGATCTTTGTTAGGAATTTCAAGGAGACAAAAACCCAAGAGGTAGTTCTCAGAGAAATAGGCAGGTAGCTTTCTAAGGTCGTCACTAATCCCTGGGTCTTTATTCTCCTTCAGACAGGCCACATCATTTCTTGTCAAGCAAGTGGTAGATAACAGACAACTTCCACGCTGTCTTCACGCGTTTCTTGGTGGCCCTGACAGTGTCACATGACCATACTTGAGCTTGTTTATCCCTTAGGCTGGGTCCCGTGATACTCGGGAATGAGCATATAACCTCACTCCTACGGACAGAGTTGGCCACTTAACAAAGTCAGAGGGTGGTTTCCCTGCAGAAATAGTGGCTTTTCTAGAAGCAGCGTGATGATAGCTTGACTTCCTAAATTGTTTGTTTTGCAAGCATGGGGACATGAGTTCTAGCCCCAGAACCCGTAGTAAATAGGCATGAATAGAATAGACAGCTGTTCACTTGTAACCCCAGCAGTGAGGGGGTGGAAACAGATTCTCAAGGGTTCACTGCCCAGCCAGACTAGTCACTTGGTGAGTCCTGGCCCCAGTGAAAGGCGCTGTCTTAAAAGCAAAAGGTAGATGCTATTACAAGGTTGTTTCCTGGCCCCCACGTGCACCCACACATGCACGTTTGCACATCCACACACACAAGTGCACCTGCACACCCGTAAACAAACACACACCCACACGAACACACTTAACCAACCCACACTTTTTTGTGTGCTATCTTTTGAGTGAATAGACCCCTTATAGTTTTTCCCTTAGGATTGTATTCAGGGAGGAAAAGAGACATGGAAGTCTGAGGTGAGTGCGGGCCTAACATTCACTAGTGTCCATCTTCAACATCAGGAAGAAACAAAAGAGAACAGCATCAGCTAAAAACAACAAAACAAAAACAAAAAAAATAACCAAAAACGTCCCCATAAAAAGAGAGTGAACAAAATAAAGCTTTATTTGAGTGTTTCTGGTAGATCATTCTGACAGCTTGTATCAGCCACCTGGAAACCTAGGCCATTTCCCAAAGGGTATAGTAACTACAGTCAACCAAGTCCATCACAAGGCATTTTTTATTGCTGATTGTAACAGAGGTCTATTTATTCAATATTTATACATACTACAACCGCTCCACCTCCCAGAAGTGTCAGCGTATTTACCCCGTTACCCAAGTCAACACAGGTTAAACTCACAGTAGGTGTGCAGGAACTAAAATACCCCTGAAATACCCACAGAGCTAAGTGCTATGGACAGATAGAATAGTCTTCCTCCGCCCCCGGGGGCCCTGCTCACAGAGCTGTCACACGCTCAGGCCTCCCACGCTTAGCCACACCTAAATACGGAATAAGCTTTCCATGACTTCACAATCTGGATCACCCACCAACGTCCAGGGGACGTAAGGCACATCGAGAGAGGACTTGCTAGGGAGGGTCAAGTGTCGTCATTGGACCACAGTGGTTCTTGCTGCCCCAACCATAAAAGATAGGACAGGCAGTGTCTTCAGGAGCCCAGAACCTTAGTAAGACACCTGAGTTTTAGCTGACTCCCATGAACAACCTCACATAGTTGAAGCAAAGGCAATTTCCTACTAAGAGGCACCTTGGGGAAAGAAGCTCCTTCCAGATCACAGCTTAGAGAAACAAACCCAAATGAATTCACAAGTGAAAGGAAGGACATTCGCCCTGTCGTTTGGGAGTGAGAGGAGCTGGTGTGTAGCTCAGAGGTAGAGTGCTTGCCTAGTGTGCAGAAGGCCCTGAGTGCAAACCCTAACATGCGAAACAGAAGAATTGTCGAGTCTGTCCTATGGCATAAACCAAATGAACCGAATATGAAAAAGACATCAGAAGTGAACGTGGCAACTAGGACTAGCAATTGTGTGTAAGACAGAGGCACAAACATCCCCGATTTGGACTTCAAGCACACCAAATTCTAATAAAAAGTACACTCTGTTATCTTCATGTTTCCCTGGGGAGACAAGAAGGGAGAATTTTCCCAATTCCTCTGTGTGTGTATGAGAGAGAGAGAGAGAGAGAGAGAGAGAGAGAGAGAGAGAGAGAGAGAGAGAGACAGAGAGACAGAGAGAGAGAGACAGAGACCAAATGTTAATTAAATGTTAATGTTCACATTACACTCGAGTGTTCTCTTATTCTCCCCAAATAGAAAAGTACAAAAAAATAAAACATCTGCATTTTATATCTCGACACATCTGGAGAAGGCATAAGAGCTTTGGAGCTAAGCGGTGAATAGTCCTCTGGCGGCCCTGTGCTGGCTCACTGCCCGTTGTGACTTCACTCTGGAAACCAGATGTAGAACAAAGGCCTCCCCTACAGAAGCAGCCCTCTGGGCTGCAAAAGGAAAACAGGGGCTTTGGCCCCACATAGGGACAGCAGAGGGATCATAGAGAGGTCGTGTGCTCAGATGGAACAAGACACCTTCACAGGTCCTTTCCCTGAGGACTGCCAGGGGTCCGGTGCAGCCTTGTCTGAGCAGAGACACAGGCACACCTCACTTGGTGGCAGCCCGCTTGTCTTCATACTTCTGGAAGGCACTCAGGATTTCTGAGATGACACTGGGGTCCTCCAGGGTGGTGGTGTCCCCTAGATCCTGCCCCTTGCTGGTGATGATCTTCCTTAGCAGCCTCCTCATCACCTTCCCAGATCTGGTTTTGGGGAGACGCTTCACCACCTGGCAAAGATAGGTGGTGTTAGGATCTGGACAGCGTCCCCTGTGCCGGCAACTCACTGTACAGAGATAAGAGTTCTCCCGCGGAGGCTGACACTTCTCAATGAGAACTCCGCAGCAGCTGCCTGATATATCAGCCAAACAAGGTCTTAATCCCCCTGCAACCTGATGCTGAAGCGGAAATAAACCCAAAGGACATGATCTAACCTGTGACAAAGCTTTGCTGACCCTCCCCCCACTCCAGGTCTGACTGCTGGACCTCCTTTGCCTACCACTATACTTGAGTGGGTTCCTCCTCATCCCGAGCCTGGGCCTTAGTTTGGGTAAAAGCCACTAAGCAGAAAATTTTGTCTTACAGTTTGATGCAAATGGTAATACTTCAAGAGCTGTGTTTGGGAGGGGTGTGTGTGTGTGTGTGTGTGTGTGTGTGTGTGTGTGTGTTGGCAATACTAGCTGGAGACTAAATCCAGGGCTTCGAGTATATAAGATTTTTAGTAATGACTGTCTTTGAAGATGACTTTGAAGTCCATGTCACAAGTCCAGCTGGTAGGCCAGCAGTGTGGGCAATATGAAGGGGAGCCTGACTCTTCCTGCCTCAGAGGATCCCAAACCCAGAAATAAATATGGAGAGGTGTCAGGGAAGGAAGGAAAAACCTGAAGAGACTAAGGGGTGGCCAGGGCCTTCCTGCAGGAACTGACCTCTTGCTGGGAATAGGAAACCACGTGGGGTTGGGGGACTCTGGTGCTTCCCATGTCTCTGGAATCTTTCAAATCTGGAAATCGGGTGAGCATAGCTCAGCAGTGGAGCACAAGCTCAGCATTCGTAAGTTTCTGGGCTCAAAACTCTCAGGCTTTGAATCTCAGGTGCCCTCCAAAGAATATGTTAAAGGTATGATTGCCAGCTCATGCTGTTATTGGGAGACAGTGGAACTTTTAGCAGGTGGGGCCTAATAGAAGAAAGTTAGCTCATTCAGGAGAGAGCCTTTGAAGGACACGTTAGTACAGCAGCTCCTCTCTCCCTCTCAGCTGCCCTGATTTAAGCAGCTTCATTTTGCCCCATGTTTCACACCAAAACAAGCAATGTGGGCACAGGCCAAAACACAGCCCAACCAACCAACCACAAACTGTCACTATGAACCAAAATAAAACCTTCTACCATATAAGTGAATTATCCCAGGCATTTTATCATAGAGATAGAAAGGAAATACACACCTAGCCCCATGGAAAGAAAAAAAAGAACAAAATTCTACTTTCCTTACTGTTCAGCCCTGTACCTGAAGCCAGCCTTCAAAGGCTGACGTACAAAAAGCATCTAGCCTTGCCTTGTGTGCTGTAAACTTCAAATGCTATGACCCTTTCCAGTCTCGGGAAAAACATGCGGGAAACCCAAACCACTGGGGATAGTTTTGACATTGGTGGAAAAGGAGCCCTAGGCTTGTAAAAGTTCACCATTGTTTGCCATTTGTGGAAAGCAGAGGGGACTTGAAGAGAGCCATGCTATCCCCCCCAGCGGGAGTTGACTCACCAGGATCTGGTCAGGCACAGCATACTTGGCGATCTTGGTGGCCACGGCCAACTTGAGTTCGTTTACTACCACGTTTGTGTCACTGGTGTCGTCTTTCAGCACAATGAAGGCAAACGCAGCTGGAAAGAGAGCAAAGACTCAGCGTGCTAGGTCCTGAGTCCGGTTTGAATCTGTGCTCACAGCTGCTGTAACCTAGAGGGTTGCCAAGTCCTGAGACCGGTACAGAGTAGCAACGGCTTCCCTTCCTGCAACCCTGAAGAAGCACGCCACCGCACAGCAAGTGAAAGCAGCCCCAAGAGTAGCTCCGCCTGCGTCCCGCATGGGTAGTCATGCATGCTTGAGAGTGTGACGCAGCAACAGTGCTGATGGCTGTGTGTGACCTCAAACATGTGACCTAACGTTCTTTCCCTCCGCTGTGAAAGAAGGCATGGTGTTCCGAATGGAGGACCCGGATATTAATCCACACATCTTCAAACACCTGATTTTTGACAAAGAAGCAAAAAATATCAAATGGAAAAAAAGAACGCATATTTAACAAGTGGTGCTGGCAAAACTGGATATCAACATGTAGAAGAATGAAAATAAATCCATATCTATCACCGTACACAAAACTCAAGTCCAAATGGATCAAAGACCTCAACATAAAGCCAGCCACACTGAACCTTATAAAAGAGAAAATGGGAAGTACACTTGAACGCATTGGCACAGAAGACCACTTCCAAAATATGACCCCAGCAGCAGAGACACTGAGAGAAACAACTAATAAATGGGACCTCCTGAAACTGAAAAGCTTCTGTAAAGCAAAGGACACGGTCAACAAGACAAAATGATAGCTTACAGAATGGGAAAAGATCTTCACCAACCCCACATCAGACAGAGGGCTGATCTCCAAAATATACAAAGAACTCAAGAAATTGGTAATGAAAAGAAAAAATAATCCAATAAAAAAAAATGGAGTACAAACCTAAACAGAGAACTCTCAACAGAGGAATCTTAAATACCTGAAAGACACTTAAGGAAATGTTCAACATCCTTAGTCATCAGAGAAATGCAAATCAAAACAACTGTGAGGCTCCATCTTACACCTTTAAAAATGGTCAAGATCAAAAACACTGGTGACAACTTATCCTGGAGAGGTTGTGGGGAAAAGGGAACAACTTAAAAATGTGTTCCCTGAGGCAGGGGAAAATGGCTCATTCAGTAAAGTAGGTGCCACACAAGGATAATACCCCAAGTTCAAATCCGCAGCACCTGGATAAAAAGGCTGGACAGGCAAGGTGGGGGCATGCCTAAGGTTCCAGCCCTGGGGAAACAGAGATGGTGGCTCCCTGGAGCTTGCTGGCCAGCCAACCTAGCCAATCGGTGAGCTCCAGGTTCAGCGAAAGACCATGTCTCAAAAACTTCAGTGGAGGACAACTGAGCAAGACATTTGACTCTGACCTCTGGCCTCACATGCATGTGCACTGTACAAGCATGCACGAGCATGGCACGCACACGTGCACACACACACATTCCCCCGTTGCACCTCTTTGTTGAGCATGCTGGGGCTACTGTATTAGACAGTATCAAACGTCACGCTTGAAAGACCCCATCATGGAAGAAAGTTCTGCCAGGCTGCAAGGCGAACGCATGTGTCAGCACACACACTAGACAACACTTTTCAGGGTCCTGGAGAGGTCTAGAAAGGATGCACCCTGGGCCCTACTGCCACACAAAGATCTAACTTTACTGTTTCCCCTCGCCTGTCCTCCCGCTGCCCTGCAATGCCCCTCCCCTCACGAAGTGTTTGCAGACTGTGCAGCTTTTCCAGCCACTCATTTGTCAGCTCTGCACCAGGTCCCATCTCCCGAACATTTCCTTCCCCTGGGCTTCTTGAACCTGCTGCACTGTGGAACGTCCTCAGTGACCGCGCTTACGGGTCAGTGCTTGTCTCTCCTTTCTGCTCCCTGCCCGTCCCATCCGGTGAGCCCATGATAGCAGAGGCCTCACCTTCTTCACATTCACTGGTGTGTCTTCAGCACCGGAAATCAAGCCTGCAGTATGGTAGGTGCGTGTTAAGTGTGTTGACTAAAGGTTGCTTCCTGCGCACACTATGTTTGATCTCCGTGTAGAGAACTAAGCTGCTACTAGAAAGGCTCCTCGTCTCCACCTGAAAAGCTCTTATTCATCCCTCAAAGCCCTGCTTGGTTAATTTAAACTCTGTGACCCTTTTCCTGACTCTGCCCATCAGTTAGAGTCTTTGGCCTCTGAGAATGGCTGATAGCTTCACTGTCCCCACCCTATCAGGTTGTAGTGTCTTCAGAGGAAAGAATTGCATTGTTTCATCTTGGCAGTTGACGTGACATTGGAGAGAGACCTGGATTATTGATTCCAGAGGAGGGATAATGGGTGGTGGAGGAGCAGATTAAGACCCAGACAGAACTGTGCAAGGTCCAAGCGGTCATAAACCAACAAGGCAAGAGACTGGCCAAAGCCCACAATGTTCAGGCCCTAGGCAAACTAGACAGAAGGGCTTCATCGTTCAGAGGGAGTCAGTACAAGCATGCAAGTATATCCAAGCACTTTGACATTAACTTCAAACTGTGAATGGGTTGCCTGTGAATTCCAAATCTGTTAGAAGCCAATAAAACACCTACCTAGCATCACATATACTATACGTAAATTTTCCTCACAGCCCTGTAAGCACTGAAGGACCGATACTACCTATGCTGAGAGCGGCTGCCAGAGCAGGAAGAGGCCAGAGGACCCAGGGAGAGTGTCAAGCATCAGGCCCCACACTGGAAGTGCCCCTGAAGAGCCCACATGTAGGTGGAGCAGCTGAGGCAGAGCACAGCCCAGCATAGCCTGCCCAGTCTAAAGCTCTCCCTCTGCAATGCAGTTTCTTTGACCTTGTTCATATTTTCTAGGGTTCATCCGGGTACTACTGATAAGCCCCCAAAGGCAAGGCAGAAGGTGTCTGGGTCACGGGCTGCTTTCAGCAGTTCCATGCCCTCTCAAGTTCAAGACTTAATCATTGACAATGTCTGGAAATGCAAGCTGAACCTTCACAGTTTCCTAATGCTGGGAGCACGCCAGTGCACTGCAGATCCCTGTACCACAGAGATGTAAAATGCTGGGGCCCCAAAAGTGGTCCAGGTCCCAATCCAAGTAAGGTACCTTCCCAGCCACCCATGAGGAACTATTCTCACTGCTCACCACCTCCCACCCTGCTGATATCTAGACACTGCCTCTGCTGGAAGCTGTCCCAACCGCTCTCCCACATGCCTGAGTCCCCCTAACAGAGCCACGGTCACATCAGCAGATTGGTTCTCTGGGAATGAAGGACACAGTTCTTAAAGCACTTAATTGGCTTTTAAATTTTGCGAGACGCCAATTCAAAGAAAGTATTTGATGGGGCTAGAGATACATCTTATCTCGGCAGTTAAGAACACCAGCCACTCTTCCAGAGGACCTAGATCCTATTCCCTATGGCAGCCAATAACCATTTGTAAGTCCAGGCCCAGGAACTCCAATGCCCCACCCCAGTGCATCCCTATCCTCTGTGGGCACTGCACACACATGGTGCACAGACACACACGCAGGTAAAACATCCATAGATGTAAAATAAAAATATAAAAAGAAAAGAAAAGTTTGCATTCCCACTAGCAATGGATGAGTGTACCCCTTTCTCCACAACCTCTCCAGCAAAGGTGGTGTTTTTTATTTAAGCCATTCTGACAGGTGTAAGATGGTATCTTAAAGTTGTCTTGATTTGCATTTCCCTGATCACTAAGGAAGTTGAGCATGACCTTAAGTGTCTTTTGGCCATTTGAACTTCTTCTGTTGAGAATTCTCTGTTCAGCTCAGTGCCCCATTTTATAATTGGGTTGATTAGCCTATTATGGTCTAGTTTCTTGAGTTCTTTATATAAAGGACATTGAGCCTATAATTAGTGATCCTAGAGAAGCTAAATAAGGAGAACCCACAGAAAAACATATAGGCATCCTCCTAAATATTAACCTCCATCAGGCGATGAAAGGAGACAGAGACCCACATTGGAGCACCGGACTGAAATCTCAAGGTCCAAATCAGGAGCAGAAGGAGAGAGAGCACGAGCAAGAAACTCAGGACCGCGAGGGGTGCACCCACACACTGAGACCATGGGGATGTTCTATCGGGAACTCACCAAGGCCAGCTGGCCTGGGTCTGAAAAAGCCTGGGATAAAACCGGACTCGCTGAACATAGCAGACAATGAGGACTACTGAGAACTCAAGAACAATGGCAATGGGTTTTTGATCCTACTGCACCTATTGGCTTTGTGGGAGCCTAGGCAGTTTGGATGCTCACCTTACTAGACCTGGATGGAGGTGGGTGGTCCTTGGACCTCCCACAGGGCAGGGAACCCTGATTGTTCTTTGGGCTGACGAGGGGGGGGGACTTGACTGGGGGAGGGGGAGGGAAATGGGGGGCGGTGGCGGGGAAGAGACAGAAATCTTTAATAAATAAATTAATTAATTAAAAAAAAGAAAAAAGAAAAAGAAAAGGCAATGTCTGAGGGGATATGGCGTGGTAGAAGACTGCAAACTTGGCTTGACTGAGGGCTTGGGTTCCGGCCAGGACATGAAAAGAGTTCAAACGTTTGAGTGAATACTGGGACAGCAGCACCCACGTGTAGACAAGAAGCAGGTGACAGTTGGAGCAAGCTGTAATGTGGAATGTCCCCAAGAGGAGAGAGAACATTCAATCCCAGGCCACTGGGCAGGGCAGACAAGGTCATTTTGTGGGGAAATGACCTTACACAGGCTTAGGATGTGGCCAGGTCACACCAGCGTGAGTGCTGAGGGCCTGCCATTGCAACACTCAAGTGTCCTTGCCAGACACAGCCACTTAGGAATTGGCTGGCTCCGGGGAGGAAGGAATTAAAAAAAAAAGGAGGGGTATCATTAGTTTAGGACCATTCCGATACCTACTCTGCCCTCCCTTGTTATGTCAAAATGCACTAGCGTCACAGGACAAGTTTCCTCCAGTGTCTCAGGGCAGCACACAGCCTGCTGTAGCCCAGTGCACAGGTACAGTCACAGCAGAGCTGACATTAGTGCCAAAACCAAGCAGAGAGGTAGGCAGGAAAACACGCATGTGGCTTAGAAAGTGTCCCGAGATATCAGGAACAGAGGTGACTTTCCAGGCTTAGTCAGGGGCAGAATAGGTCATGACTTCTTGTGGTCTAGTATCCTTAAAGGTCAGCAAATCTGGGCATGTCATAGCTCAGACCCCTAATCCTTACCTTGCTCAGTTTTCTCACCAGGAAGGCAAGAGTGTGGCCCCTAGGGCCTGTCACTGCATCCTCAGAGACCTGTTGTTCTTTCTACTGGGGCATCCTGCTGAGAATGAACCTCCACAGGAGGGAGAAGGGGACACTTACCTTCTCCCTTGATGTCATGTGGGTACCCAATGACAGCCGTTTCTGGAACAGCAGGGTGGTCAGCCTGTGCAAAACAGACGGCAAAAGGCCCTGGGGTGACTTGGGGTGTATAATCTCCGCCCTGACTCTGAGTGTATCCTTAGAGTACCAGGCAAAGTAAAAGGCAAGTTGAGTTTACCATTGCATCCTCAATCTCGGCAGTCCCCAGGCGGTGACCACTGATGTTGATGACATCATCCATGCGCCCTGTGATCTGGTAATATCCACCCTCAGTCCGGTGAGCTCCATCTCCAGTGAAGTAATAGCCTATACCATAGTGGGGCATTCAGTGCCAGGGACTCTGACCCTGCCCCAGCACAGTCCAGGTCCCAGCCCCACTCTGGAAGCTAACTCTGAAGGTGACAGAGTTATTCTTGGTCTGTGAGCTCCCTCCAGCAACTAATGTAAAAACACCTCTCTAGGAGATGCCAGGCTGTGCTCTAATGAGAGGGCAAGTGGCACTGAGACTACGTCCCATGAATGATACCAAGGTGGCAATGTCCAGAGAGCAGAAAACAGACAGTAGCACAGCTGGGATGCCCCTCAAGATGAGTGTCCGCTATAACTTGGAGACTGGAAGCTGCTAGCTCCAGCTAGGCAGAGATGATAGCGGTCACACCAACCTCCAAGCCAGGACCCAAGAGAAAACTGAGAACAGGGATATATACCGTGAGAGCGCCCAGCCTGTGTGACCGTTTCCAAGCGTGTTTCTTCCCTCGACTCTCCCAGTGTACACCAACATGTCCATCCCAGACCAGAGCCATGAGTGAACAAATGTACTCATGTCCACCCAGGTCCCTACAGAGGCTCGTCATGGTCACCCTGCCCCCCCCCCCAGTCAAGCTAAGGAAGGTCTGGGAAGTGGAGGGGGGCTCAGAGCCAGGCTCGCTTCCATAGAATCATCACGTTACACTCAGTTGCCATGAATTTAACGGGTTCCCCTATTTATGGAAACATGATTCCAGGAATCCATGGAGAAGGTATGGGGGTCCGCCCTAGCTTCTCACCTGGATATGCTCTGAAGTAGGCATCTATGAATCTCTGGTGGTCACCATAGATGGTCCTTGCCATGCCTGGCCAAGCTTGAGAAATGCACAGGGCCCCGGAGACATCACCACCCTCCACAACATTGCCCTAAGGATGAAGGGAGACATTCATTAGAGACCTGGCTAGCTCTGGGAGAAAAGCAAAGAACTGACCATCAGCACAGTCCTGACTGCTTGGCCTGAGGCAGAAACTAGGAAGCACTGACTGGAACTGGCCAGAGCTTTCCTTCTGGCAAAGTCCCTGACTTGCAGCAGACATCATCAGCAGTGCTGCTTGAGAAGGGGCTGCGGAGAGCATGTGAGGACCTGGCCTTTACACTAGGAGCCAGACCCTGCATCTTACTTAGCAAAGGACAGAAGGCAGGGCATGTGGAAGGCTTGTCAGATGAGTAGCAAGGCAGATGTGCAGGAGAGACAACCTCTGCAGGATCCCACACACCTTCTCATCCATGAGTGCTGGGACGATGCCGTAAAAGGGCCTCATGGCCATACCCGGGAGGATCTCCGCCCCATCTTCCGAGGGCCGTGGTGCAATGCAGATGCCGCCGGTTTCTGCAGAAAGGACGAAGAAACACCAGTTGACGCGAGAACCAGGGATGGGTAGGTTCTAGAATATGTCTATCTAGGCTTGGACTGCAGTCTCCTCCAGTGTGGGCACAAGCAGAGACCCTCAGCTGTGCATTCTGCAGACGGGCAAGGGGCTACCCTCTGTTTAACAGACCCTCACTGGGTCAGGCCTGTGTTTAAAATAGGGAAGGGGGAAAGCCACCAGCTTGCCTAGGAAGGCGGAAGAAATTAACTGCTTGAAGCCAGTACTATTTGACACACAACAATGAATAGTGAAGCCCGTGGGGCGTTTCTCTGGGACCTGCATCTATCTGCATGTATGGTGGCATCTCATGAGGTCCACTGTGAAAAGTTCTCTGTCCCAAATCTTCCAGCATAGGCAAGAGCTACTCTTTGAGCCTGTCTCCTGATGGCTACTTGCAACACAAGACTGATGACTGTGTTACTGTGTAGTGGTGGCCTCTTCCCCTGAACATCCCAAGCAGCCAAATACTCAAAAAATGACAAAACAAAACAAAACAAAACAAAACAAAACAAACACAGGAAAACTTCCTTTTCCTGCTAACGTTTAAATTCAGACTCCAAATCCCTCGAACAAAAGGACTTGTCCCCCTCAGAAATGGCTGAGCTCAGTGGCAGGAAACTATCGAGCGTCTATGAGATCCTGGGCTTGACTCCCAGCCCTGCACCAAAATTAAAAAGGACAGAAGAAAGCCAGGAAAGGGCCGCCGCCTGCAAAGGAGAGCGAACTCCAAGAACTTGTCAATCCACTGGCCTTAGGCCACTTGGCCTAGTGTGTCAGTCACTACACAGTGTCCTCACTCTGGGGCTCACACAGAGGCTGTAAGAAGCACTTGAAACCAAGGCCCAGGAAAGCATCACATGTCCCCTAGAGCCTGGTTGTACCTCCGAGCCTTCTCCTCTCCAGCTGCGTGCTGAAGGGGCACGGGCCTGGTGAGTGCCAAGGCAGTCCCCCGAGAACATGAAGAGCCCCTCCTCCAGCCCCTGGCTGGTCCCCAGGCCTGTTCCAACAGGGACACTCACCAGTCTGCCACCAAGTGTCCACCAGCGTACACCTGCCATCACCCACCACCTTGTGGAGCCACTCCCAGGCCTCATGGTTGATTGGCTCTCCCACTGAAACCACACAAAAGCAAAAATTACTTTAAAATTAAAAACTAACAGTCTTCAGGAAAACCTGAAGCCAAAAGGAATAAATTATTAGAGAGGAAAAGCCCTGTGACCTTGCTAAAGGTTACATGGAAAGACCTAGAAAGGCCTGTGTTCCCGTGTCCACAGTCATCAGAGTAATGTACACTATGATGAGGTACAGTCACCATGACAGCCCAAGAGGCAAATAAAATAAAATAAAATAAAATTTAAGAGTGGGGGAAACGGACTATCACCCACAGTGTAGGACTGAAATCTGGCACAGGGCTTCTGAGGAGCAACTGGCACTTTTGCTGTATTATTTAAGGGAGTAGACATCCCATACAATCACTTTAGACAATTGTCAGGGGAAGAACCTATTAAAGCTAAAGCTAAAGATGTTTTTACCCCACTGCCTGAAATTTTGTCTCCTGACATTTATTCCACAGAACTGAGAGTAGACATCAAAAAAAAAAAAAAAAAAAAAAAAAAAAAAAAAAAAAAAAAAAAAAAAAGAAAGAAAGAAAGCACATGTACCAAGGATCCATCTGAGCCAGTCTTGCTCATCACAGCCAGAGAGAGACTGCCTTTAAGGGCAGAATGGATAAGGTGTGATATATCTACACAGTGGGATATCTTACAACCATGAAATTAGCAAGCCATTGCTACCCGTGACAACACACTGTGTGGCCCCATCCACGTGAAGCTCAGAACATAAGAATGCACACCGCAAGAACTCCTACAGAGGGAGCCGTCATATCCTCTCCTACCTTCTAGTCTATATTCTTCTCTAGTTGATCTAGGTAGTGCTCATCTGTGTTGTGGATGAAAGGAAGTCTTTATCACCCTGGCCCCTTGGCATCTGTACATTTGAGTAGATGTTAAGCCTCTGAAAAGAGGTAGTCTGCCCTTGCAAGCATCCTGTGGCCTGACTTCTTAGTGTCCATCTGGAAAGCTCCCAGGACTAGCACACAAGCCACCACTAGTTAGAGCCACACTAGCACTAGTTAGAGCCACCACTGCCGAGACAACGGGGTGTTCCTCCTCCCCAGTCAGCACGGCCTGGCCCTCTGAGCCCCAGGCCCATGCTAAGCCACACAGCGCTGTGCTCACCTGACCCCAGTGTGCGCAGGGAAGAGCGGTCATACTTTTTTACCCAGGCATCCCCATACTTCAGTAGCAGCCGGACAGCTGTTGGGGCACCATAGAACTGGTTGATCTTTAGCCTCTGCACTGTCTCCCAGTAGCGACCTACAAAAGGGTTACAGTCAGTCAAAGATCCCACTAAGCACGGCCTATTTTACACACATTCATGCTAAGCTCAGAGTAACTAAGGGCTGGGTCTCTGTGTGTGATCACAGAAAAGGAAGCTTCTAGACCCAACTGTGGATGACAGCCTCATATAAGGTGTTTGTTCCACGTGAGCCAGCCAGAGATCAGCTTGAGACATATTTGCTGCAAGTTTCAAAAACTGACATGGAACTTTGATTGGTGGTATTTAAATGGACCCTAAAGAAATGACTCATCTTCCCTGGGTAAAAACATAGCCACTCAAATGTGTGCGGCCATGTCTCCAGAAAACACACACCTAATACTCATGACTCCGTAGCTCACACCATTCCCTGAAGCTGCATTTAGGCAATGACCCTTAATCCCTGCTATCACCCCATTATGCTCCCTTGAGTGCCGCTGGCAGGATCAAGAGGCATCAAAAAGGAAGTTCATGCCCCAACACTGGAGCGAGAGCCAGCTGCAGAGCTGCTGCAATTTGACTACATTAAAGCAAACATTTGGGGATAGTGTGCTGTGTGAGAGAAATACCAAAGAGAGCAGGATGAGGCCATATCCTCAAAGTGAATGAAACCTAACAAGGGTGGCTGCAAGCCATGTATGGTCCCGAGGCTTGGGCAGTGAAGACTGAGGAGGGTGGGAAAGATGGGAGTTGGCCCGGGCTTCAAGGAAAGACAAGATGTAGCCAAGTGGGGTGGTCCAGATATGAGATGGAGAATGTTAGAGTGAAATGGGTAGTTCTGAGATAAAATTGTTCCCTGACCAACTCCCTCTGATCTTTCTGCACACAGCCCTAGGCTCCAGTTCCCCTAGCGGGGCTCAAGGCCTGGAATCTCTAATGTCCACTTGGCATTCTGGTCAATGGAACCCAAGAACAGTTAGTTCCCTTGCCAGATCCAGGCTTCTGTGACTCTTTCTTCCAGCCTTGAGATCCCTCCCACACTACCCAGAGCAGGTCTCACCAGAGTTCTTGGTCCTCACCAGCATCAGGGTAAACTGGGGTGCTCTCAAAAAGCACCGTGGTAGCTCCGTTGCAGAGGGGTCCATATACCACATAGCTGTGTCCTGTGATCCAACCGATGTCAGCCACACAGCCAAAGACATCACCTGGCTGGTAGTCAAACACGAGCTACGGACACAGGAAAGGACGGACCCTCAAGGACTCGCCTGACCCAAGTCACCCTTTTCCTACCTATCACTGAGACATGGTCATTTGCACAGCCATCTGTAACTGTGACAGTCCCCACAGATGCCAGGAGTGTAGTGTGTGACGGCTGCAGGGTTTTCCCACAGAGCCCAGCAGAAGACAGAACCACCAATACAGAAGCATTATAGCCATCCCAAGTACCAAACAGTACATGGTACATGAACCTAGGAAAAATATTCCAAGCCAAATAATGCTGAGCTACAGAAGAAATTTGCTCAGGTGTTTATCTGTGAGCTAAAGATGGCCCATGTCCTGAAACAAGCATGCATCCAGTGGTGCCATTTCATCCCATTAGATAGTGAAGGTGTGGCAACTTGAAGTGGGAACATGCATTGGCAGTTGAGTACAGGCTTGTCATAGACCTCAAGAGAAGAAAAAAATAATCTGGTATATTTTTGAACAACCTTATACCACTGTTGTTTTTTTTTAAACCATTTAAAAATTTTTAAAAGTCAACTGCAAGCACCCACTGAACACCATCAACTTCCCTTGCTGATCTTGGGATCCTGTTGGCCATTCGAAGAAAATAAAGCTTAGAGGGACCCAGTGACAAATGACTAGCAGCCATAGACAGAGTTCAAGGAAATGAAAAGGAGGAAGGGGATAAAAGAGAGCCCACAGGTAAAGAAAACATCCAAATACTGTGATGAGCAGGAATACGTATATCTAGGGATGTGGTTTGGGGGTGAACCTTGAAAGGAACATGGGGCAGTGATGATCACGCCATAGAGGATGGGACTATAGAAGGGGCTTCCGCAGGACTAATAGTCACTCCATTCCCTCACTACTATGATGCTCATTTTAGAGTAACTCATGGAACACAGACTGGGTTTTGTTAAGATTTGTATATTTTTGAAAAAGGCCTGAGTTTCTTAGCCATAGAAGTCTGAAGGTCTCTACACCCAATACTCTAAAAAAAATCTCTTAATTACTGAAAAAGATGCCCCCTTCCCTATCTTTATACCCCTTTGGGTAGTTTGGATAAGAATAGCCTATATATTGGAATGTGTAGTTACCAGGGAGTGGCACTATTTGAGAAGAATTAGGAGATGTGGCCTTGTTGGAGGAAACATGTCATTGGGGGTGAGCTTCTCTCTCTCTCTCTCTCTCTCTCTCTCTCTCTCTCTCTCTCTCTCTCTCTCCNTATATATTGGAATGTGTAGTTACCAGGGAGTGGCACTATTTGAGAAGAATTAGGAGATGTGGCCTTGTTGGAGGAAACATGTCATTGGGGGTGAGTTTCTCTCTCTCTCTCTCTCTCTCTCTCTCTCTCTCTCTCTCTCTCTCTCTCTCTCTCTCTCTCTCTCTCTCCCTCCCTCCCTCCCTCCCCCGCCCACTCACTCTTACTCTGACTTTGGATCAGGATGTAAATCTCTTAGCTACTTCTCCAGTGTTATGAAAGCCACCATGCTCACTGCCACAGTGATAATAATGGACTAAGCCTCTGAAACTATAAGCCAGTCCCCAATTAAATGCCTTTTTATATATACAAGAGTTGCCTTGGTTGTGGTGTCTCTTTATAGCGATAGAACAGTGACTAAGACAGAAACTGGTACCAGGCACTGGGCTATGGCTATGACAAGCCTCACCATGCTGTTTGTTGGAGAAACATGGAAGACTTTGGGACTTTGGACTAGAAAAGCACTTGAATGCTTCAAGCAGAATTTAGTGGGCCATTCTAGCAGAAGCATGGAGGACAGTGCTGAGGGTGAGTTGAACTGTGATGGGCCCAGCTCAAGAAGTTTCAGGGGGGAAGAGCATTAGTAAGTGGCCTAGAGACAGACCATTTTTGTGATATTTTGGCAAAGAATGTGGCTGCTTTTCACTTTTGTCCTGAAAATCTACCTGAAGCTAAATTAGAGCTTCAGATTAGTGGCTTTGGTGGAGGAGATTTCAAGACAGCCTATTATTGACTCTGTTGTGTGTTTCTAATCGTGTGTGTGTGTGTGTGTGTGTGTGTGTGTGTGTGTGGTATGTGTGTGTAATGAAAAAGAGCAAGCTGAATGAAGAGAAATACAAAATGTACAGTCTGGGGGGGGAGGGGGAAGCACCGGAAAGGTGATGTTGTGCTAAGTCTGATGCTCAAGGAGAGAAAAAGCTGAAAGAAAAGCCTGGTGCCAAATAGAACAGAGTGGGGACCTTAGGGAAGACCCCATCCAGATAAGCTTCCCCTCTGTGAAAAGGAACTAAGCAGCAAAGGGAGCCATCAACAAGAGAGAGCTGACGCAAATATAACTGAAAGAGGGGGCCAAGTTCCAGTGCCAGCAAGCAACAGAATTTAGCAGCATCAGACACCCACATGGTGTTGGTTTTAGAGTCAGGGACACAAGAAAGGGGTTGTGGAATCTCCCTCCAGCTAAGAAAAACTGCTGAGGCCAGGGTTTCCAGAGTGGCCATTGCTTGAAGCTGTGAAAGTGTAACCTGCCTTGTGTTAGAGCTTCCAAGATGTGGGAGCAGCCAGAGATGGGACACTTGCCAAAGAGAGCTGCTAACAGGAAACAGAACCAGCCCAAAAGAGAGAAGTGTATTGTAGTCAACAAAGCTGAAAGGATTTGGAGATCTGAAAAGTGCTTTGACAACAAGCAGGGGAATGCAGAATTTAGAGTTTGCCCTACTGGGTTTCAGTCTTGCTTCCGTCCAGTATTTCCTCACTATGCTCCCTGTCCTCCTTTTTGGAATGGTAATGTGTATTCTGTGCTATCATAAGTTGGAAATATGTGATCTGCTTTTTGAGTTTTATTTTTTGGGGATTTATGATTAAGATATTGCTATGTGTCTCAGAGACTTTGGACTTTTAAACAGTGTTGAGACTATGATAGACTATGGGGATCTTAAAAGTTGGACTGAACTCACTTTTGCGTTATGATATGACTACAAGCCTATGGGGACCAGGGAATGGAATGTGGTGGTTAGAATGAAAATGGCCCCCATAGGCTCATATATTTGAATACTTAATAACCAGGGAGTAGAACTCTTTGATAGGATTAGAAGGATTAGGAGGTGTGGCCTTAATGGAGAAAGCGTATCATTGGGGGTGGGCTTTAAGGTTTCATAAGCCCTTGCCAGATCCTCTCTCTCTCTCTCTCTCTCTCTCTCTCTCTCTCTCTCTCTCTCTCTCTCTTTCTGCCAATGGATCAGGTTTAGAACTCTCCGTTACTTCTCCAGCACCATACCTGCCTTCTTGCCACCATGATCATGAACTATACTCTGTAAGTAAGCACGCAACGAAATGCTTTCCTTACAAGAGTTGCCTTGGTCATGATGTCTTCACAGCAATAGAGCAGTGATGACGAAAACACCAGCCAAGATTTCTCTGGGACTCAAGGTTCTTTCTGGAAGCCTGGCTGGAACTCCGGCCTCATGAGGACAGACCAAGCAAGGAAAGTTGCTGTCAGCTAGAACAGTGTCTAAGCCTGCTCACAGAGACATGGGCTTCCAGGTCACCTGGCCAGAGAGTTCCCTTTGTTGTTGCCACTAGTCCTGGCTGAGTTTCCCTTAGGAATAGAGCATCCAGTCCACCAACGGAACCCAGAAACTCAACCCTAGCTGGGAAGTGCCAGCTACTCGCTGAGGCAACCAGGGACCCATGTTAAATCCCAGTCCTCTACCCATCAACACTTTATACACGTTTATTGGAATAAAGCATGATCTGTCATTCCACGTGCCTCAAGGGCGTCCCTCTGGTGTCCAATTTCCACTTACTAATTCAAATTTCTTTATAAAAGTGTTTTAAGTTTATTTTTACTTTTGAAATGAGTAGTACTAAGAATGAATTTTCAATTGCTTCAGAGACTCAGGGTTTTTTTTTTTTTCTTTTCTTTTTAGGGTCAGTGGGAAGCAAGGCTTGCTGATACAGGTCTATGATCCCAACTCTTGGGAAGCTGAAGCAGGAGGAGGACACAAGTATGAGGCCAGTGTACGCTACAGGGTAAGATCTGTCTTCAAAAATAAAGCAAAGATTGTAAGTGCCAAAGGGGACGGGTGACTCCAAGGAGACAGTGCCTTCCAGACGTAAGACTGGGGCTGATATGAACTCTGACTGTGGCAGCATGAACAAGGCCTGCACGGGTTCCCAGCACCAGGAGGAAAAGCAGACACGAGGTCTGTCTTAGTCGGGGTTCTATTGCTGTGAAGAGACACTATGACCACAGCAACTCTTACAAAAGAAAGCATTTCACTGGGACTGACTTACAGTTCAGAGGTTTAGTTCATTATCGTCATGGCAGGAAGCTTGGTGGCGTGCAGGCAGCCCTGGTGCTGCAGAGGTAGCTGAGAGTTCTACCTCTAGATCTGCAGGCAGCAGGAAAAGAACCTAGCTTGAGCTTCTGAGACCTGAAGCCCGCCCTAGTGACACACTTCCTCCAAAATCACTTCTACAACAAGGTGACACCTCCTAATAGTGCCACTCCTATAGACCAAGTATTCAGATGCATGAGTCCATGGGGGCCATTCCTATTCAAACCACCACAGGGTCTCTCGCCCTCAACAAAGACATTATCTGCAATTGATACTCACTGGCAAAGGGAAAATCAGTTTTTTTCCAACAGAGTATCACTCAGTATATCAACCATAGTCCTGGGCAAGCCCCATGCCCAGGCATAGCTGATGAAATAATATGAATAATATGAACTCAATGATATTTTTGTGGATTGTTCATTTTGTTTTTGTATTTTCTTCTTTGTCTCATTGGTATTACATTTTTTTTTGTTTTGATTTTTTGTTTTTGTGGGGGTTTTGTGCTTTTTAGTTTTGTTTTTTGTTTTGATTTTTGTTTTTGTGGGGGGTTGTTTTTGTTTCTTTTTTAAAAGAGAGAACATAAAGTTGGTTGGTTAGAGGTTGAGGAAGATCTCACAAGAATTGGGGGAGGGGAAAACATGATCAGACTATATCGTACAGAAAATTTTAAATAATATAAAAACAAACAAAAAATCCCTCAAGCAAACAGAAAGTAAAAATCGGAAGGAAAGGATGAACTATAAACTTCTGAGTGGAAGGAAATGCATATTTTAATATATAATAGTGAACGCATACAACCTTATACCAGGACAGGGCTGGGTTTGGCTTGGCTTTGATTTTCTGCAATCCTGGAGCTGGAAGCCAGGGCTTCGTGCATACCAAGCCTGTATTCTACCATCCCAGCCCTGGTAAATTATGCTGTTCAGATCTTTTTACAGTGCAGCTGTAAGGCATATGTGTAGGAGCTCAAGAAGTCAGAAATGAAAGGGAGCCCACAAGGGCCCCATCCCCCACACCTCGAGCAGAAGGAGCTGGAGCAGGAGAGAGGGGCTGAAGGGCCACAGCAGGCGCAGGTGCACCGGGTTCTTCTCTCTTTCCCACATCCACCCTACTGCACCATAGCTCACATCAGCACCACAAGCCTACGTCTGCGAGATCACTACGTCTGCGAGATCACTATGGCTCCTCCACCCTCTTCCCCTGGGTTCCTACCTTGTGCGTCGTGGCAGCGTACAGGAGGTAGCCCGCCTGCGTATGAACGAGTCCCTTGGGTGACCCGGTGCTCCCAGAGGTGTAGAGCATGAACAGCATGTCTTCGCTGCTCATGCTTTCAGGGGCGCACACAGGGGCCTCACTGGCCATCTCCTGGAAAGGACAGAGCACGGCACTGGGTCAAGGCATTTAGCCACTCTCTTCCAGCAGGCCCCTGGAGAGTACCGTTTCCCTAGCTGAAGTCAGAACACTACAATTCAAGTTACAACTCAAAAAGATATGGATTGAGGCTGGTAGTGTAGCTTGGTGTTTGAGCTCCTACTTAACATACAAAACACTAGATTCTACTCCCACTGTGGTGTAAGGAGTGGCGGGGGGGGGGGGGGTGTACGTCCAGGAAACCCAGACCAAGAGCCTAACCATTCCCAGACACAGGTGATCTAATTATAATCTGTATCGCGTGAGGTGAACCCACCTGCTCAAGAGGGATGTCCAGCTTTCCCATGTGAACCTTGGCATCTGTCCGGTGAGCCACCAGGACGTGCTGGACCGTCGGGCAGTTCTTCACAGCTTCGTCCACTATTTTCTTCAGCTCCACCACACGCCCTCCCCGGAGTCCTTGGTTGAAGGTGATAACGACCTTGCACTTGGCTAAGGAACACAACACAGACTGTCTGGTCAGTGTAGAACCTCACAGCCCGAGCTGACTTTTGTAGCTGCATAATCCAGGCCTAAGAGTGTGACAGACGAAGACCAACCGAGTAAAATGAACCCACAGGAAAAGAAAAGGTCTGCTTGCGGTGGAAGCTCGGGGTGTCACAGATTAGGGCCCTGTCTTTCTCAAACTCTGAGGGTGAGTGGGAAAGAACCAGAAACGAGTGACCTTGAAATAAACTGTTCTAGCACAAGTCAGCAACATAAAGGCAGTTTCCCATTCAGGCTTCAACCCTCTCGCCTGCCCCAGAGGGAGCGGCTTTCCCCGAGTAACCACCGTGGCAGAGAAACAGCAAGAGATGGAGACCAAATCCCAAGGCTTCCACGTAGCCAGCCCTGATAGTGACTTCTGTAGGCCAAGGCCCTTTGCTGTCCGGAGGACACAGCCAACACCTCCAGGTGGGTGTCCTTGCCTTCACGAGGGCACTCCCTCCCCAGTCACATTCCTCTCCTCAAAGTCCCAGCCAAGCTTCTCTCAGGACTCTCCCTGGAAGCCCACACTTCTACAGCAGAGCTGAGGCCCAGGGCAGGGTGTGAGAGACACAACTTCTGAGGGCCTTCCCTTCACACAACATTAAGGGACAACCTGTATACAGATGAATTTTCAGTCTGCCCCTGTGTAAGAGTCTAGAACGAATACTTGGCAGTGATGCTGCCTGCAGGGGTTCCCCCACACCCTGGGGGTTATGGATTGAATTTCTCGAGTGCCTCCCACAGTTTCCCAAGCTGGGGGTGATATTTTTGAAGGAGAGGCAGACTGATCTTTGAGAATTGAGGCCAGTGTGGTCTACATAGTGAGTTCCAGGATAGCCAGAGCTACATAGTAAGACCCTAACTCAAAAAAACAAAAGCGGGGGTGATAGTAACCCCTTCATAGAGAAAATACCAGGATCAGACAGGTGTACTGGCAAGTGAGGAACTGACATTTAAGAAGACCTTGAACCTTGGACAAATGGAATCCTATTCAACTAGCACCAATCCCCAAATTCTTTCAGGAATGGAAGGAAGGTATGCTTCCAATTTCATTTTATGAGGACAGCATTATCTTAATGCCAATGTCAGACAAAAGCACCAGCAGGATAAATTTCCCTCCTGAACAATGTTGCAGAACCCTCAGTGCTGTTATTAACAAGAGTTTACCCGGCAAGGAGGCAAGGACAGCTAAGCAAGCAGAGCCCAACAATGTCAGACACAATGTTAACAGAATAAGGGAAAACCTATGTTTCAATGAGTGAAGGGGAAAGCATTTGACAAATCCAGCACATGCTAGAATCCGACAAAAGGTCCTCAGCCCAGTAAAGAGCATCCATGCAATGCCACAGCTGACAGCATCCTCAGACTGAAAAAATAAAGCTACAATGTTCTCTCCAGGATCAGGACCAAGATGAGCATGCCAGCTTCCCCTACCCCTAGTCAACGTGGTCACAGGACTGCCAACCAGTCCATTAGAGAACTACACACAAACCATCAAGAGTGGAAAGGAAGAGGGAAGGCTATCTCTACCCACGAAAGGCAAGGACTGTAGGTAGGAAATCACATGAAATCCATTTGAAAGCTACGGACGTCAATAAACATTATATAAACTTACAGGATATAAGAATAAAATTTCAGTTAGTTTGACAGGCAAAATGGTGTTCACCAAGAGTCCCATCTGAAGAGACTGAGGTTACTAAATTTCAAGTTCAAGGCCAGGGAGAAGACTGTCTCTCCTGAACCACAGGTGGGGCTGGGTTGACACCTCCCTGGGTGACACACAAGGCCTGGGGACTCCTGAGTTCCTCCCATGCCCACCCATGCTCACCATCATTGATCCTCCCAGCCAAGGAGTCTGCACTAAAGCCAGCAAATACCACTGTGTGGACAGCCCCAATCCTGGCACAGGCCAGCATTGCTGCCACGGCCAGTGGGGACACAGGCATGTATATGGCCACACGGTCCCCTCGGTGCACTCCATGCCTCTTCAGCGTGTTGGCCAGGCGGCATGTGGTCTCCAGAAGCTCCCTACAGCATAGAGAAGAGAAGGCCGTTAGGAACAAGAAAGAGCCACAGTACAGCTCAACGCAGAGCAGGACAAGTCACAGACTACAGGCACTGTCTTCCAGCCCAGTGCCGAGGAGAACAGCTGAACTTGCAGCGTGGCAAGATGGCAAGTGGTCAACATTTGTTCATGATCAGCTGCATCGCTAAGGCTGACCTCACAGCCATTTCAGTTTCTGAGAGGTCATGTTCCCAAGACTTCTTAAAATATTGGCTTCCAAAAAAAAAAAAAAAGTCAGAGTTCTGGCAAGAGAAAAGGAGACTCCCAGTTTTCTATATCAACAGAAGCCAAAGCACCAAGAAACTCTTCTTGCAGCCTAGACCTTGGTGGGACAGGTACCAAATTGGCGAAGCCATAGAGACTGGGAAGAGAAAGCCACAGAAAGATGACTACCCTGCTACTAACCCCCTGGGCAGAGTTGACAGGCAGAGATCTGTGTCAAGCACTGACTGGGCACAAATGACAAATTAGCAACACACACACATATACACATACACACACGCACGCACACACGCATATACACACACACACACACACGTATATACACACGCACACACGCATATACACACGCACACACTCATATACACACATACACACACATGATTTATGAGTTCCTCACCAGGTCATAACACTTAGCCAGCTAATCAGAAGATAACAAGTTGGTTGACTCAGAGTTAAGTAATGATTCTTTCATAATCATAGCCCTTGACTAATCATAGCTCCATGATACTAAACTCCAAGAAAACCAGGAGTAGCCGGATAGTGGCGAATGCTTTTAATCCCAGCGCTTGAGAGGCAAAGGCAGGTGAATCTCTGAGTTGAGATTACCCTGCCCCACCGAGTTTGTTCCAGGAGAGTCAGTGCTGCATAGAGAAACCTTGTCTCAAAGATAGATAGATAGATAGATAGATAGATAGATAGATAGATAGATAGATAGATAGATGATGCAAGGGGGGAAATTAAAGGAAGGAAGAAAAGAAAGCAAGGAGTATAGCATAGGAAAGTTGTCTCACTGGGAAGGCAGAAGAGGAGAAAAGCAGAGTAGGGGACAGAAATAAGCTTGAGGCTGTTCTAACACCTTTTCTCATCAAACTTGGACTTGGAAAATGGATACCCCAATCATTTTTCCTTTTTTTCTGTACATTGTTTGATATTAATTAGCTATTTACAATAAAAAGAACTAACACAGAAAGCTAGAGTAAGCAGGAAAACAAAGACCCCGTTTTTCTGGGTTGAGGGAAGCTAAGCATGAGCCACATTCCTGCCCTCTGAATCTCAAGAAGACACTCCAAACAAGGTAACAGCCAGGCCTGCAAGCAGGCCCAAGGGGGAACCCTACTACAAGCCCCTCAAAGCCCCTGAAAAGCATAATTCCCTATCCATGGAACTTCAAGAAAGGCTGAGCTCAACAAGAGGCCTCTCAGTGAAAATGCAGCCCCCATCTCAGGCAGTGTTCAAGGGGCCCTTTGTTTCTCCTGAAACCACTCTGCACAGGCGCCCAAATGAGCCTAAGCCCGGCCACCCTGCTATTGGCCCAGCTGCCGGCCACTCCTGGCCTGCTCAGTCCAGGGCCCCTTGACGGCTTCCATCTTTTCTCCCTGAAGCTCTAAAGAGGACAAAGGCAGCATTCAGTGGTATTCTGCCCACCCTTTCCCTAAGTTAACAATGAAAGAACACTCCAAGGCCAAAGCCACAGAATCTAGGGCCCAGAAACACCCCTACGCCTCTGAGATGCCCGCCCAGTGCTAAAAAAGCAATTGTTATCAGTAATGCGTGAGCAAACCAGGGCCCTCCCGTCAACTCTGCTTTCACAGCCCTGAGGCTTATGCCCTGGGCAATGCTGAGAGAGGCGAGTCTAAAGTGCCATGCCTGCTGACCAATGGTATTGAAAGCCAGCCTTTACCCTGCAGCCAGCCTGAGGCAGCAGTTTAAAGAAAGGACTGTGGCCTGTCCTTTCTCTAGCAGACACAGCCCTACTACACGTTCTGTAATCAACCTGACACTTGCCTAAAGACACACAAAGTAAACGCATCCTTCACCCCCAGCAAGAGAGTCTGAGTTGAGCTCTAACGGAAACAGCTAGAAAGAGAGTTCAGAGGCAGGAGGAGAAGCAGCAGCTATATCTACGTATTCAATTTTCTTTCAATCAAAGTTGGGTGTCGTCGTCATTGCTTTGAGATGGGGCCACATAGCCCAGGCTAACCGAAACTCTCTATATAGCTTAGGTTGGTCTAGAACTCTCCACCTCCTGTCTCACCTCGTGTGTGCCGCCAAGCCCAGCCCGAAGCTGTTTTTGTTCGTGTGTGATATTGAAAGTTTCTTTCCCTCCCACTTATTTCCTGATGTCAGCCCAAGGAAGGAAGGTATTGGTTGGTGCGTGTTGTGTTTAGGAAACAACAAACTGACAGTGGATGGCTTGTCTATTTCCCACACTGACTTTGCCTATCCACGGTCATGAAATAAACACAAGTTCATTCTCTTCAGTATCTGTCCCACTAAAGTACAAAGACCGCTGAGACATAGCATCAAGTCTTACTCATTGCCTTCTGCTCAGCATTTTATAATAAGACCGAGTCATAAAAGATAGTAAATATCTATTAGATGACTGTATAAATGAGTACAGCAAGCGAGCATGAAGTGAGAGCCGTACTGGTCCAAGGCGATAAGCTACGCTCCCTGCAGCCTACTGGCAGGATCTCTACACCCTGCCAATCCTTGGAGGGCCACCTCTATGACCTAAGCAAATGCAGATAACTCTGCTACAGTCTCTAGTAAATAGTATTCCATTCAGTGCAATTGAGAGAAGAAAGGGCAACTTTTAGTGATGTAGAATGGTGGTGTGGAAAGTCCTTCTGTATACATGTTGTTTTTATTGATTAATAAAGAAGCTGCTTTTGGCCTATGGCTTAACAGAATATAACCAGGAATAGATTATTATAGAGAGTGGGCAGAGTCAAGGAGAACCCATGGAGCCACTGGGGACAGATGCATCTGCTGGATCCTGCCAAAACGTTGCTGGTAGGCCGGGACCATGTGTTGATGAACAGATTAATGGAGATGGCTTAGTTGATGATATAAGAGCAAGCTAGAAATATGTTTAAGTTATTGGCCAAACAATATTGCAATTAATAGATTTCAGTGTGATTATTTCTGGAGTCTGGGCAGCCGGGATACGAACAAACAGCCTCTGCCAACAGTATGGGGCAAGACTGGCCTTCCTCTCCCAGCAAGGCGCAGCAGGTCCCGTATCCCATCTTGAGGAACCAGCCCAGTAGAACAGTTGCTGAGCCATAAAGCCTGGTCTCGTGGAGAAGAGATTCGCTCACTCTGCTGCTCACAACCCCCAGAGAACGGAAGCCACAGAAATGGGCTGGACAGGCTCCGAAACCAGCTGTGCCATCAGGTGCCCTTGTGACCGCGACCATCAGCACAGAGCTTTGACGAAGATATTGAGCACCATACTTCAATGTGGAAAGCTCCCAAAGCTGCTGCCGTTTGCCAGGGAAAGCCTGAGACACCATCAGGGATCCCACAAGACAGCAGCTGGGCAGCTGGCAGGGATACCAGGACGTCTGCTCACTGGGCCACTCCAGCTATGTCTTCTAAATTCTCTCAGAAAACAGATGTGCCTTCCTTGCGGTGCACTACTGTCTGGCAGAGGTACTGACCTCAGGCTTTATCCCCAAGAAGGGTGTCTCCCTGGACACCCAGTCGTGTCTGAGCAAAGATGAGGTTCTGTTGTGAAACAATGTCCTCTGGGTGTAGCCGCCATTGCCCTGTTAACTGGAGCAGCTGTGGATACCTGCAGAACACCCTCAAGACTTAGTCCCGATGCTTTCTCACAGAAGAGGATGATATCAGACCCTCGCAAGAGACTCCAGCCACTCCCTCCTACACCACCACCCCTTCCCAGCTGTGGACAATTCTGCTCCAGCCGCTTGTGCTAAAGTGTATAAAGATTGGAAAGTAGCCATCCATACTGGAGGGGGTACTTTTCAGCTATGCAACTGTTTGGGGGTGTGGGGGAGGCTGAAACCAACCCCTCTCCCCGACTTCTGAAAATAACTCTGATAGACTTACTGGTTCACCATGCTAGCCTGGCGTGGAACTGTTGTTCTGCCCATCTGCCTAAGTAGACATATCTACCCAAGAGAAATATATATATATATATATAAACAAACATATATATATATATATATATATATACATACATACATACATACATATATATATATATATATATATATATAGAGAGAGAGAGAGAGAGAGAGAGAGAGAGAGAGAGAGAGAGCAAGATCTCACAAGGAATATAATGACTTTATAAAAGAGCCCACCACTAAAGGAACTACAGGACCTAGCTATGATGTCCCGGGCACCTTTAAAGGTATCCTACAAATGGCAACTATAATCATTACAGAAAATGAGCTAAGAGGTAGGAAAGGAGTGTGAACACAGCTCCTTAAATGCCCTTTTCTTTTCTGTACTGCATACTGCACCCAGGACCTCACACATGAAAGACAATCACGCTATCGCTGACCTACACATACCCAGTGGAATAAAACTTTACTTATCGAGACAGACTATTTTAAATATATATATTTTTACACTGTTCTGGGGAGAGAAATCAGAGCCTTACACCTTCTAGGCAAGCATTCTAACACTGACACACCCCCTTACTTCTCTGATTCTTTAGCAGAGACAGGTACCTCATGTGTCTATTCCTGGGAAAAAACATAAAATGCCAGTGTGTCCTATGTAAGTTGCAGGGTCTGATCCTTGGCTCTGAACAAATGTGACCCATGACAGTTCACTTGAGTCGTCCACCCGCTACGTGACCAGCGGCCAGTACAACAGCCGGTCTAAGAAGGCTACAAGATCACCCTCAAGCACAGCTGCTGCCCTCTGGGGGTCAGGCACTCACTGGGGCCTGGGGTTTAGAGAAACCTAGAAGAAGGCCGGCCCA